AACAAAGCCAACAGATCCGGCGTGTGAACGCAGCACAAAGGCGAAGAACTACGCAGCAAATGAGTGGACGCTTTTATGGCAAAATGTAGGAGGTGGGATTCACCACGGTTCAGGCTGCGGGTCACAGCTAAAGCAGCTCTCTGCTGCAGATCAAGCTCCTCGGCTCACATAATGGTGGCTGGCCTGTCAGAGTCTCCTGAGAACGCAGACATCAGTTTCTCAGACTAGTCTTTTTTTTTTTCCCGGGCGCTCCGCCTCTGCCCTCTCCCACAGTGCATTAAAAAGCTAACTTTTGTCAAAGTGCACATAAATATTACAGTGCACCGTACCTGCCACATTACCCATGATTCCATTTACCAACAAAGTCTCATTGGTGCTGAGCACTTGCTCTACTTATTCTGTGTGTATCAACAGAGATTGGGAGGTTTCATGGAATTAACTCATGATAACCCTTTTATCAAATTTATATATTCCTAACTAAGCAAAACCTCAACGTGAAAGACCAAAATTGAAATTCTCCCTGTATAATTGTTTGACTTGTCCTTTAAATCAAACAGGACAGATTATATGTAAAAATATTCCAATGGTATAATATCCATTAGACGTATCGGTTGCTGCGTCTTGGAACATGTCACCACCTATCGAAGCGTAGACGGACTTGCTTTGCTCAGAAAGTCGATTCGAAATGGCCTAGTTTAAATGCACCATGTGACGTAATAATAATGCATTAAAAGAGGCAGAAAATAAACCCAGCTGATCTGTTGAGGACATTCACCAACGGAGACTATTGATAGCTGATCTCAAGCCATAAATAAATGGAATGAAAAGGAAGTTGCCCTAATCTGTAGACCGCAAACAGAAACCATCCACTCCATTCCCTGAAAACACAAACAACCAAACCACTCCACTTTTACGCCTGGGATATAAATGAGATCTACAGCTGAAGCTGCAAAGGTAAATACATTAAAGTCCCTTCTGAAGAAAACGTTCAGAACAGAGCACTGCTTTCATTACGACCATATCTTCCAAGCTTAAAGCTGCCGGGCCCTCATCAGGAGAAAGAGAGACGCTCCCAAGAAAAATATTTAGTGGATCATGTTTAGGGTTAGGCCCTCTTCATGTCTTTAATGTGCTGCTAACGCTGTAGCACCAATTTACATCATGTGTTATAGCTTCCCTCAATTTCACATTTGACGTTTTAATGCTGCTTGCACCGATAAAAGCGACGTAGTTTTCATTTACGGAGCTGGAATGAGTCCTGTTGTCTCTAAGCTGCCATGTGTGAACAAGAGTTATCCTTCTTGCCTTTATTATGGATTCATTCTCTTGCTAAATAAACACAGAACTGCTGGTTTATTTGATCCAAAATGCTGCTAAACAACAGATGCAAATTCTTAACAGAGTGCGTCCAGGCAGGCGCCACAAAATATAAAGGAATTGTCAAAACTGCCCTTCCACCGACCATTTTCTCCTGCTTATTTGGGAATAGGTCACAGAGAAACCCCGACTTCCCTCTCCTCAGCTGCTTCTTCCGACCTCTTCCGTGACCCCACGTGACTCCTCCCATTTGGACCTGTGCAAAACACCTTCTGCATGACTACCCTCTTTTTTTCTTCCAATGGCTCCCTTCATTAGATGACGTCTAAGTTCTGCTCATGATCTACTTTGAGTGAAGCAGAAACCACAGCCTCCCAAATGCCGCTCAACTCCCTCTCTGTAAAACATCAAATCTGAGAAGTTCTGCATTTTGCTAATTATTCAAATGCATGTGATCCGAAGTTGTGAAACAACAACATAGAAAAAAATAACAGCCTTCCTTGTGGTCAGATCGCCTGTGATTGTACATAATATTAATTCCTGAACCTGCTGTTTGAAAACAAAATATGCAGATTTACTTCTTCTTCTTTGGCACTTTAAAAATAAGCGTGCAGTAATTATTCATCAGACTAGACTGTATGCATAGGCAGGAACTGCATTTGCATGCATAATGAAAATGCCATCCATCTTTGTGTTCACACCACATTTTTGAAGGCAATGCATGGAAATAACTGAGTGCATTTTAATTTAGATAGCATACATCTAAGACAAGCTCTCAGATAAATCTCTCTTGATCTGATGAGAATATTCCTGGTTTAGAGAAGGAGCCTTTCAAGTTCACAGCGTGGGATTCAGCTCGAGACATTTGGAAATGGAGCACTTGTAAATCCCATCTGTTAATACTCTCTGGAATGCTGTTACAGGAATGGCAAATCAAATCCAACCCAGCAAAATCTCATCAGACAGATGTACAAACCGATGACACCAATAAATAAATGTGACTGTAAAAGACACACACACACACACACACACACACACACACACACACACACACACA